GGTAAAAAAACTTACAAAATTGAAAAAAAATGTATTTGTTTATTACTTCGATGAAAAATTTAAATTGAGCATTAAATGATATATCAAATTGAATCGGATGGAATTAATGTGCTTGGATTTCAATAGAAAAAAATATATTTAATAGGTACAATATGGAATTCTAAATTGATTCTAAATTTTAATTTTCTGTTAAAATAGATTTTGAAAAAAAACCCTTCTATTCGCGGATGAAACAGAAATAGGTATAATGTGATATTCTATATTGATAAGCAGTGTCCAATTTAGAAGGACATTATTCAATTATGATCTCAAATTTGATGGAGAGTGACCGGTGAATCTACATATGTGTATAACAATAATATTTAGTCTCATCTTAATTTACCGTTTACAAAATCAATATTTATACCGATAAAAACAATAATCAAGGATATAATTACAGTGATGAATTGGTAACCTTTTAGAATAATTTTATTCAATGGATCAATAGGTTTACATGGATCATATCTAAATTTACATTTTCGGTAAACAACATCACCGTAAAAATTAGGATGTGCTATTCCATTAGTAATTAGTTTTCTACAGGTACAGACAAACTTGCAAACCAAATCTTTGTATCTATGGGAGAATTAAGTAAATTTTTTTTAAAAATTAATTTGTGGTAACGAAATCCTTGACTCAATAATATACCAATAACATATAAGTTACGTTCATTGAAATCCAAAACGTCACTACAGTCACGAGCATAGCAAAAGTGTTTGGATATATAAACACCGTAAGATGGTGCAAAAGGAACATCACCGTCCAAAAAAAGGAAAGTTAACATTAGGGAACGAAAAGTTGTCCGTTTTGTTGTAAACTTTTGGGTAGAGTATTTTGATTCCTTTTTTCAAAAAGGTTTTAACCTCTCGGTCTTGAACTATGTTGAGGTCCCACGTGATAACATGGCCATAGGGATCATATCTAAAATTCGTCGATTCACAGTCTCAAGTTGAAGGAGTGTTATTTTCTACTCTTGCGTCCGATGTATACGAAATAATTGGTGGTTCTGTGTTATCATAATAAGGAGGTGCAAAGTTTCGAATGGTAGAGACATTAGATATTCTAGATATACATATTGCCATTTAGACCAAGAGGATATGCATTCTGCAGTCGTTTAGTCCAAGACAGTTCAATAATTTTAAGGGAATCTTCAAATTGTTTATGATATTGCCCTTGTTGTTTCTAGATAGCTTCGAGTGGTTGAAATTTTTGAAATTTGATATAGTGATTACGTTTTCCTAAATGTTGGTAAATCACACTTTTGAATTTCTTTGACTTTCAAGAGTGGTATAGATGTTCCTGTGTTCGCCTGAAAAATTCCTGTCCTGTTTGTCATACAAATTGTATACCACACTTTGGCATGGTTCAAGTAACCAGATAAATGAGGCTTTGAGTTTTCAAGTAATATCACAAGAAATGGATATCGAAAATGCTCTATCGTTCACTGTTGACCTAAGATTATTATTAGAAGATAATCTACAGCAGATTAGTAATTTTCCATCAATGCACGGGAATACTTGTGGATATACACGTGAAATCGGGGACATATTCTACTGCATCATAATATAAGTATATATGTTACAATAAATTTGTATAATCAGGGAAAATGATTAAAAGCTAAATGATTTATTCTATAAAATCATATTAAAACAACCTTATAAACATAAATTGTAAAATGTGAAGCACAATCTATTAAAATGTTAAGCACAATATATTAAAATGATAACCTTAATTTATTAAAATTTTAGGAACGATATTTCAAAATGTTAATCTCAATATATTAAAATGTGAGGCACAATATATCAAAATGTTAACCACAATATATTAAAATAATTATATGATTTACATCTGTTTTTGTCTTGTCATAACTTCCACATTTCAAAAAACATTGTCCTTCACATATCGAATCACATTTTATGACAGGTCAAAGAGAAAAAAAAGTTTTCAGTACAAACATCTGAATATGTAAAAAAAAAAAGGGAATTTGCAGCCTCGAACTGATTCCTTGTGTAAGATCTGAATAGAAATCCATGTTTTATTGCCAGGCTATATCCCTTTTTAGTCTTTTCGTGAACGATGGTCATTATGTTTTTTTTCGGATGGTATGAGAACATTCGACCTCCTTCAAAATTTGGTTCGATCCGTCAATCATTCGTTCTGCCTATTTTTCTATACATTAAAGTGCGTTTGTTCTCTTAGTTTGAATTTCTTTTTCTGTTGAACACCAAAAATGCAAAACAGATGTTCCATAACCTTCTTCACCATTTGTTTTACAACAAATGACATGCATTATGCATTTACACTTAGAACATTTATGTACATTTGATACTGGTTTTTGACAAACAATACATGTAAAGTTATCGCAATCAATGGGAATGTTGATTTTATTGATTTTATTGTCTTCTACGTTATTTCGAAATCCTGTGTTGGTTATATCTTCAATATTATCCCTTGTGTTTAAAAGCGAAATTATTTCATCTGTTCCTGACATTTATGCAATTTTGTTTTTCAATCAAAATGGGGGAGGGGGTTTCCCCCTCAATGCCCCCAACCCGACTGACTTGTTATCAAGCAATAGTATACTAATAAGACGCAAATCGTTGAAATGTGCATATGATAAATGGTACTTTTGTTTCTAGTTTTTACAATTTTTGCTTTTAACAAAAAAAATTTTCGTCAGATATTTTTTTAATTCTTCGTGAAATCATTTTTTTTTTCATTTTACAAAAGCGTTTTTTTTTTTATTTTTAGATCAATGCCAACCAGCCCTCCCCCTATGTTAATGAACAATGCTGTAAAGAGTGTAACATGTATGACATATAAGGGATGGTAGGAGTCTTAAAACTATTTGAACACTTACTTTGTCAGCAGATAATAATAAGTAGGAGTTTTGTCTTCTTTCCTTGGTTCTTTTGTCATCAAAGTAACAATGTCATTGTATTTGTTCCTTGTCCATATCTTGCCTTTTTTGCCTTGCAATTTACGATAACTTTTGATCATACATTTGCTCCAGCCCAAGAAACAGCTGGGCCTGTGCCATATTTATTTGTTTGTGAAATAATGTGGGTCAACAGTTAGATAAAATATCACTGGAAAAACTATTCACTTAAGATTTACCTAGTAGATCAGGAATGAAAACTGTTATTAACCTATATTTTGAAGGAATAAGAAAAACAAATGATAATTTGTATATATCTAATTTTTTTTATCAAATATCAAACAAAGGATCTATGAATTATTGATAATCCATGAAGTCATATTAGGGAATTTGTAAAATAATTATTAAAATGTTCAGTGATTATATAAAATCACTGGTCATTTTTAGTGATTATATATAATCACTAGCGATTTTACTGATTATGTATAATACCTGAAAAATCAAGGATTCTTCATAATCCCTGATTATATAAATTCACTGTAACATATACATGTATATGAGTAAAAGAATTATTCTAAACTCCTGATCATTCAGTCTGGTGACTTTCACGATCATTATAATACGTTTCCTGATCTTTCACGATTAACTTGATTAAAAATAAATATCATATGATTAAAAAATAATCTGAACCTTTTCATGGAAAAATACATAACCTTTTTAACTGATCTATCTGACACACTTAATACAGCGTGACCATTAAAGATTTAAAAGTGGGCTTTTTTTCGTTGATAATTCGCATCGAATTATGTGTCGCCTTCTGTGTTTTAAGAAAAAAAACTTCATTTTTTCTTTACCTAAATTAACCTTCTTTACCTTCTCATATATTTTTAATAAACATATTTTTTCTGATTTTTTTCCACCTTTTGTTAATACTGTGATTGTTTTCACAGATTTATTTGCATTGCATTTAATTGCATTCATGATCCAATAAAAGACATGTCTACGATCCGACAGAAATACATGACTACTATTACTTATTTCTTTCACGATCATTCGGATGCCAGCCGTGAATATATGAACATAATGAAGAAGCATCATACACTTAGACAGACAACTTTTATAAGCCCATATTAGAAAGGACGTATTATGGTATATCGTTCCTCCGTCCTTTGTCCGTGCATATGTCAACACCGTACATGGGGTATATATCTCACACTTAATACACTATATAGCGTATGTTTCATATATGGATAAAGGTGTGCTGCTGGTTAAGTTGAATTTCTCTTAAAGAGTATAAAGGACTCGATCATGAATTGGTTAATAGTTATGAAATATCTGTTTAATAGATGACCATCATTGAAGTGTTCAAATTGTAGTATCCAATCTCCCCATCCTCTTTTCTTCTTCAACTTCGTATTTGATTTGCAATCCCCCCCCCCCCCACTTTTCTGATGAGTCTCATGTAGACCAGTCTGGCGTACCAAATTATCAGCCCAGTATCTGTGATGAGTTTATGACTTAACGAATAGTAACTTTCAATTAATTTTTCTCTCCAAGATCAGTTTCGTATTATGTTTTTTTTGTATATTCCACTTAGTATCTTCTGCCTATTCTGTATTTATAAATTTTGTTCTGGGATAGATAAATCCTGAATCTTTCATGTTTTGTTACCACTGGTAAGGGTTCTAAAGAAAATTGATAACTTATGTGAAATGAAACTAAAACAACTAGTGATAACAATGTGTCGTTATAATGTCCTAAAAACTGTAAACATGTCATACGTTTTAACAAGCATATTTTTTTCTATGTAATACTAATGATAATGGCTTGTATTGCTAATGTAGTGTAAAATAATACCTTTAATATTCTGTTATCTTGATTTGATATTTATATGCATCAAAACTTAAATTGTGTTCAAACACGATTTATATTCTCAACAATTTGATTTTTTTCAAGTTTCAAGAGCTTTGCCCTTCAATTTTCACATATTGCGTGGCTGTTTAATCCAATTTTTTATATATGTCTTTTTAATTCATGCATATAATGAGTGACACATCTGTCTAAAAATCTATTTTCCTTTTATATTTAAAGCAGCATCAACATTCAATGATACGCTATAAACTTTCAAGATGAAGTCAATCCAGATGATCGTCGCAATTTTAGTTTTTACCGCTGTGTGCGTTACAGGTAAGTTCAATATTGTAAACAAATTTCCTTTTTCATTTTGCATCCATGTTGCATGGCAAATCGTTTTGTAGATGAACAAAATTTAATTTTGACGTTTGGTTTGGGTCTATTATTTTGACCCTGCAAAATTTTTTTATTTTGTTACATGTTTATTTAGTTGTTTTGGATTACTATTTTAACATTTATTTATATCTTGCCGATGAAGAAAAACTTAAAATATATTGGATACAGGTGATTACAAAGAAAAAGCCAAATTTAAAATGCAGTGCTTCTGTGTTTATATTAATATTATGGTACATCATCTTGGTCCATCTAATAAGATTTTATAACTTCGAGAATATTCAAAAATGTTAAGGCATAAAAAAGCGATTTCTGAATGTATATAATATCAGTTTCTAGCTTTCTTGATTATGTCTCTTTTGACTTTCAGAGAGTAGCATATCAGTTGGGTTACTATGTAGCGGCAACACTTAAACATTATCTATTTTTAAGATTCTTAACATAACATGAGTTAATTCCTGCAGTTTAAGATTCCCTAGATAGAAATTAAAGGTTTCACTTAATACGAAAGATTGTAGAATGTTGTGGTAAAATAAAGCTACTTCAATTAAATTTTTTTAATCACAAATCTTGTCCCGCAATGGTTTAGTCTGAGCAAATACAGTAATGATTTGGTAATCACAAGTAGCTAATAACCTTAATGGTACCAATTATAAAGCATCAGATGTGTATTTCGAAAAATAAATGTCCCCTTAGTGATACTCGATGCCAAAATATTTGAAAATGCAAAAATTATTCATACCAAAAAAAAGACAAAAAGTGTAGCCAAAGCTGGACAAGGTAACAGATCTTTGCATGATGAGATATAGTTCTTTATTTATAATAATTTCTTAGTTTTGTAACAGCAAAATTTGATAACACAATATTCATATTTTCATGCCAGTATCAAAGTAATAGCTATTGAGCTGATCATACACTCTGGGACTAACAGTCCACAAACATAGGTATAGACCTAGTGGTAGTTAACGGTACAAACTTGACTGCACCATAGCTACGTATCTTTGATTATTTTTTACAGTATGAATGTTACAAAAAGAGAAAAGTTATCAGTTATCATCCGTATATAATCCAATATTAAATCTTGTTATTATCACTATTCAAGGCAACTTGTCTCCACTCACCACTTTCAAAATTTATTTGCTTAATATTTTGTTTCCAAATCATTGTTAGTTTTCTAACACGAGCTTGCAAGAATTTACAAAAAGTAAAAACCGATCAAACAAGTTGAATCATTTTGGCGGTATCCAAACGCTGGTGTGAGTTCTAGATATTGCGTCTAGAATATTTCAAGTAAAAGTTAATATACATTTTTATCAGTTTATAATCATGATAATGTAAAGAGTTGAAGAGTCTTTCTATATATATGTATATTTATTATCCATTTTGTTGAAGCAGGCGGTAAATTGCGATTGCCTATCTGTCTTTTTTTCGTCCGTCAAACCGCTCGTCACTAGCCCGATGTGTATTTGCACACACATAATGAACGACATAACATGATTTTATGAAACTTGAACATAATCTATCTCAGTTGATGTACTTTTGCAACATTTTTCAGCTTTTCGAATAGTTTTGACCTTCCCTTAGCTAATCATGAGTTTTGTCATTGAGATTTCCTTAATTTTGAAGGTTATCATGTTGATTTCACATTGCCTCCTAAATCCCGTATTATCCTTAATTGAAACTCTCTAGGAAAAAATGATGATGATCCCGTAGCATCAAGTACAGTCATGAGAATAGATTTCAATAAGTAACGATTGCATTTTTCTAGTGACTATTTACAGAATATCACACACTTATTTACTGTCTATGAGGACAATAAACTTGATAGTGTCCTCATAACCAGTAAATAAATGATTTATCATATAGAAAGAAACTGGTTGTTTCTGAATGTTTATCGTACAGTATTTCCTCTAAGTCTCCCTCTGAAATAGATTCAATTCGACCTTCTCCCGCTGTGCAGCTGTGTCCATTTCTCGTCTGATAAACAACCCTTCTGGAGTCTCCTGGGACGAGTCAAATTAAACGATAACATTATAGCATTCCGAAAAATCATTTAACGTTAATCATCGATTGAGAACGCAATCTGTATAAAAATGCAGGAAAATGTATGCTGCCAGTAAATACTTGTAAATAGATGTTAAAAGGATCAACCGGTATATAGTATTTTTCAGACAATTTTGTAAAAATGTTTAACATATTCGTACATAATTTTATAAACCAAAATTCTTACTGAGGTATAATAATACAGTGTATTCGTATAGAAAGAAAATCTGAGAAAGTTTGGGGATTGCTTATTGTTCCAACTGAGTAAACAAAATATAAATTCAAATATAAAAATATCAAAAATATCAACCAGCATATTTCCATGAATTTAAATCATTTAACAACCAAAAATAACACTTAGACATGAAAGACACGAAAGACATTAAGCACTATAATTCTACGTCACATTGAAAGTCTCATTTTATTTAAATTTTGGCTGTTCAAATATGGGAGTCGTAATGGTGTGAAACTTATAAAGCATAAAAAAGCACACATGCAAAAAATTCCCATGTAGCGTTTGAAAAATGTAACACTTGGAAATATTTTTTTCTTTACAAGTACTAAAATGTAACGCAGTATCTACCAATGATTCATCTTCATTTGATCATCTTCGGAATTAGTTTGATTTTATAAATTTATCAAAAGGAGTAGTCATATTTTTCTCGTGAACTTTAACATATCCCTTGTGCGTTGATAAATAACATTTCATTTGTTTAATGTTACTATTATGATTTACAGTCAATGTGATTTACATAACGGATAAAAGGATGAAATATGCTGAATTGTTTTGGACGAAGTAATATTATTCTCCTTTCGTTTTCTGCCGAGCAGAAACTTTCTGTCTTTCCAAATCTACTTCATTTTTATGTCACGATTTCAGCCCGTGATGTGTAGGTTATGTTCAATATTCAGCTATATATCTATTTAAGATAGGCATTTCTGTATTACTGAAAAGTTATTACACCAAGGTTTTCGATATAACAAACTTGTCAAAACATTTACTAAATTTTACCATCGGTGCAAGGACATCATTCGTAAATATAAATCAACGTGCAGACATCTTATACGTTCAGGTATTTCACATTCTATCTTTTGTGGTAATATTCTATACAAAGCACAAACATGTCGTCATTCAACTCAAAAGCTAACCAAACCGTTAAACAGACTTATTCAGAAGGGATATAGTTACGATACTGTTGTCAAGTCATTAAAGATGACATTTTTTGAAATTAATATTGATTCGCTCATAGGGTCTTTGCATCGGAAATAAACACATTTATTCTAAGACCAGTTGTTGGCATGACACGGGTTATGTTCTTCTCGTATATTTTATAATGGTATGATACTAAACCCCTAACGGGTGGAAAAAAAGTGAAAAAACTGAGCTCCGAGGAAAATTCAGATCGGATAGTCCGTTTATCAAATGGCAAAATCAAAAGCTCCAACACATCAAACGAATGGAAAACAATGGGATTGTGCTTGATTGTCATATGATTAAGACATAATCTTTCAATCAGTTTAATTGAGATCTGGAGCTGGCATGTCAGTAACTGCTAGTAGTCCTTTGATAAAAGAGAGGCGAAGGATACCAAAGGGACATTCAAACTCATAAGTCGAAAATAAACTGACAACGCCATGGCTGAAAAAGAAAATAATAAACAGACAAACAACAGTACACAAAACAACACAGAAGACCAAAGACTGAGCAACACAAACTCCACTCAAAACTGGGTGTGATCTCATGTGCTCCGGAAGGGTAAGCAGATTCTGCTCCACATGTAGCACCCGTCGTGTTGCTCATGTTAGTACACAACCGGTGATATGTATAATTTGGTAGACCCATTGGAGCTGTTTTCTGCTCGTCGGTTGGGTTGTTGTCTCTTTGCCGCATTCCCCGTTTCCATTCTCAATTTTTTTTTGCTTGACAATTGGCCGTTTTTACTGTGGACATAATGATAAGTATCCGTCTTTTTTTCAATACTTTATTACCTGTTTCCTATATTTATTTTTTTTACCAACAAAATGACAACCTTATTCTATCTTACAGGTTATTACCAAAACCTGATGCCAATATGCTACAATAAAGACGGATATTGCGAAATCGGCCCTGCATGTCGCAAAGGATTCACTTGTGACGTAAATATGCCATATGGATGCAGAGGGGCAAAATGTTGTATTCGTGGTAAGTATTAATATTAAACGTTTGTAAAATCATAATACATCACACAACTTATGTCTTTAAAAGTCGTGTTTTGTAACTACTTCAAAAGAACAATTTGAATTTGGATTTAGATTTAATTTTGATTTTCATCTTGTAGATCAAGTAACATACGAGACGTACGCAGCACCAGTATATAACTCCCGTAGACACTGGAAGAAATAATAAACCACAAGGTAATGAATACAATAGTAGAACTAAATTAAATGTTGAAGTACTTTACGTAACGGATATCTTTAGTCACATATCCCTGGTACACTGGACATGCTTTATAATGTTCCATTTTACGTTGAAGGCGCCGCACTGTTTAAAAGTCTTCTGCTTAAGTTTTCTGGAGAACAATCCAATGTTTTTTAAATTAACTTTGAATGCATTGACAGTGAGTGAATAGACTTTCTAAACTTACAGTTATCTTCATTAACTTAGAAAAAAAACTAAACGAATACACATAGGCATCTTTCTAAACGAATACTAGTATATGCATACATATAGGCATCTTTATAAACGAATACTAGTATATGCATACATATAGGCATCTTTTAAACCTACAGCTGTCTTCATTTACCGTGATAAAAATCTAAACGCAGAAAAAGATAAAATCACAAAAATACTGAACTCCGAGGAAAATTCAAAAAAGGAAAGTCCCCAATCAAATGGCAAAATAAAAAAAAACCAAACACATCAAACGAATGGATAACAACTGTCATATTCCTGACTTGGTACAGGCATTTTCTTATGTAGAAAATGGTGGATTGAACCTGGTTTTATAGCTAGCTAAACATCTCACTTGTATGACAGTCGCATCAAATTCCATTATACATCTTGGGCTCTGACTTGCGATGTTACACGACGGTTGCCACATGTGGAGCAGGATCTGCTTACCTTTTTGCAGCACACCTGAGATCACCCCATGTTTTTGGTGGGGTTCGTGTTGCTCAGTCTTTAGTTTTCTATGTTGTGTTTTGTGTACTATTGTTTGTCTGATGGTATTTTTTTAGCCATAGCGTTGTCAGTTTATTTTCGCCATATGAGTTTGAATGTGCCTTTGGTATCTTTCGTCTCTCTTATATTCCGAACCGCGACGGTCACGATGAAGTACGATGCTTGCATTGTGATGTTAACTTGTTGCTAGCTACGCTGAAATGCAATGAATGACTATATTTTTAATGTTATTCATTTTCTCGTGTCGACGTAGAAATTGAATTGTTTGTTAGACGCAGCTTTTCATGTTTTTAAGTAAACCACCAAGAGTATAACCAGTTTGAATAAAAAATCGTCAGTACATTTTCAGTCATTACTGAAACGGTGATGTTTACTTCGTAAATGTGGCTTATTTAAAAACTGAATCTTGCAGCTTTCACTCCGCAAATTTGACCTTCGGTGAATTTTCAACTCAATGGGACATTATTCACATTGTTGGTGTGAGGCACGATACAGTACGTGATAAATTTTAATAAAGTATCTTATAATCTATAGCATATCTGTATTAAAGATCATAGTTTATGTAAAAGAGTAGCTAAAAGGGAAATCGATAGAATATTGTGATGTCAAATAAAAAAATCTTACTCGTATGAGTCCACAATATTTGTTTTCCATGATAAAATGTAACGCTAATGCCTAGATGAAGAATAATTGTAATCTAATTTCACTTTTTTTAATTCAAGCAAGAAACACATATCGAAAGCATAAACTTTGACCCGTTTTACTGTTATTTACTAAAAACAATTGATTCATTTTTCAGGCTACGGTTATTGAAGACAGGTGTTCTAAGAGGAAACATCAAAAATGAAGTCAATTACAAACTTTGATTTCAAATAAAAGATTTTAGAAATAAAAAATCGTCCGAGTTTATGATGTATATTAAATGTGGCATATAAAACTGCAGAATATATTTTGCTTTCTTTATTGGTTCTACCAAGACACTTGAATCGCGCACAACACTACCACCATGTTTCACTACCACTATCAGTTAACACAATAACAGTTGTAAATGCGTTAGGAAAAGTACCGTAAAGTTAAATCTATTCACTCAATAATTAATGGAGATCAATAACTTACAAAACATAAAACAGCAACAAAAACAAGAAGAGATATGCAGTCACCATACTTCTCCAGCAACTAGTTTTCTGAGATCTCAACCCTACTCTCTTATACACGACCATACTTTTATTAACTTCCGATATATTGATACACCCATCGCTTTCCAAACTTTCGATAATGACTTTTTTTAATGAAACACGTCATGTACTTTAACAGGTTCTTTTAAAAAAATTCATATGTACGCCCGGGCGTTTTGAAGTAAACATATAGTCATGCGCCTGCTTTATATGACATATGCTTTTTTTCTTTAAATATGAGAGTTAAAACCAATATTAATTAAGACCGTTTTTGAAATAATTGAATATCCCTGAAAATGTTTTACGAATTTTAGTAGATTTTTAGTAGTAGCTGTTGAATGAATATAGAGATATAGAGATGCGCGTACTTCAATGAAATAACCAGCGAACGATACAACTATCCCAATCTAGATAGTGGTGGTAAACCTAGAAGAAAGATTGATACTAATTTCGTGATTCGTCAAAATATCATTATCGTGATTCGTCGGAGGTCTCAAATAATTATTTGGAAAGAATTTAACGTGATTCGTCAAAATCAGTCGAATTTTTTTATCGTCATAGAGAAAATGTACATTTTATAGTCATGCACCAAAAATGACCGTTAACGTCATTTTAGAAGATTTTTTTGCCGTTATTGGTGATGAAGGTACTCCAATTATGACCCTCATATACAATATCTTATACACTTGTATGCAAATTTGTCCGCCATTACTTAAAATCACAAAAGTTCCCGAAAAATTTGACATTACAATTTAAAATATTTGACGTCATAATTAAAAAGTGATTGTTGCTTAACATCAGATGGTTATACGGTGACAGATCTAATGTCGTTCGGAGCGAAAAATTCAGCTAAATACAAAAAGTGTAAATACGTTTACTTAAGGGAAAAGGACACAGCTTTGCTGGTTTTTTGGCAGCCTTCTTTTTCTTCGGAGACTTTGGCTTTTTGGCTTTAGACTTCGATGACTTTTTAATTACAGCTTTCGTCTTTCGGGGTGACTTCTTAGCCTTGTCATTGTTTGATGCATTGTTTGATTTCTTCTTTGGTGACTTGGTTTTCTTTGCCTTTTTCTTGGGAGAAGCAAGTGCTTTTCCAACTCGGAAGCTACCAGTTGCACCAGAAGCACAAGAAGCACCAGCGGAAGTTTTGGTCCTGACTAAAACACCACATTTCAATCCATTTGCAAAAGCCAACTTCATTGCAGATCCAAGGTAAGATGTGTTGATTCTTTTGTTGTTAGCCAGGATGTATTTCCTAATGGCTTGGATTGACGACCCTTTTGTGTTCTTCATTGCTTGGATGACAGCAACAATTATGGATAAAGTAGATGGTTTCTTGGCTCGACCCTTTGCTCTTGGTTTCTTTGGAGTCTTTCTTGCCTTCTTTGCTAGACTTCTCTTTGGAGATTTGCTCCTGCTTCTGGACCTAGATCGGGAACGTCTATTTGGGCTTGGCATATTGGTTACTTGCTATTACTACGTCAAAAAACAGTAATGACAACGTCAGCTACAGGTGCTTCATTTATCTTTACAACGCGGACGTGATAGAGAAAACCCATGAAAATTGGATCTGAAAACTGGGGAATATGGCGGACATGAAAATTTGTGCTTTCTCGTTCATTTCAATTGCAGAAAATCGACTGGAAAATGTGTGAAAACGGCAATTTTAAATGTAGAAATAATTGGTAAGATCTATTCTTCAAATTACATTACAAATAACGTGCATTATAAAACATTGTCATCATGAAAGCATACGCCGAACTTGTAGTTGTTGGTTTCTACAATGTTGGCTCAGTCAGAGTGACACTAAAAGGGGAAGAAAACTAGCGTAACAGGGTATGGAATTGGTTTTACATGGCCAATTAATGATGTGTGTACAAAACCTTATTATTTTTAGTGTAACTTATGAATGCAATGTTAAAATATTTAAAGAACCAAAATAGGTTTCCAGATACATCAACACATATCCGCCATTTTTCTTTGGCAATGCATATTTTCAAAAACAAAAATTCCATTCACCATGCTCTCCTGTTTTGCTTCTTCAAATATTTGAACATTGCATTTATTAGCTTTACTAAAAATATTTATATTGTAAATAAAATATCTTCTCTTTTTTTTTTTTATTCTATGAAATGACAATTTCCAAAGATGTCATGAAAGCTAAAAAAGTGCCGAATTTTCAGTACAACCAAGGACTTATATCTAGTAAGACTTTCTATACAAATCCTTGGTACACCTATGCTAAAAAGTGTATTTTTAATAAAAAATGCAGTTGTAAGTTTTTAAATGAAAGTTTGTAGGATTTATCTGTATAATAAAAACGATTTTGATTAATTTTGATGAGATTGAAATATATTTATGCCAGCTTTTGTGTAAAGTGTCAGGGTGGCAAACTCCAAATGATTTGTTCACTTCTGTCTGATTGCCTTGAAAACTGCAAAATGAACTACTTTGAAATGTTTATGTTTATGATAACTCATACGGAAAATTAGAGTTTCTTATATCTTTGTAATATTTTTTCTACAAACTAAATTCAATCAGCCTACGTGAAATGCATGTACATTGTAAAATCTCAAATAAAGGGAAAAGCTAACCAGACTCCCTCGAAGAACAAAAGCTATCATGTTCTCTATAAAGTATTTAGGCATATGATTTATTTAAAGCATTGATCTTGGAAAGAAAACCCTTGGGTAATTTATATTGTTTCATGTCTTTAAAAACTTTGATTCCCCTTTTAGCCCAGAATTCAAATCATAAGTTCTCTGAAATCACTTTTTAACAAATTACATCAGCGCATTATAGATCAAAACCTATAAGTGCAAAATTCTTAACTTTTTGATTCTGAAAAGTTATGATTTACTTTATATCACTTACTGGGAAATCTATAATAGCAAAAATAAGAGTTAGCAGTCATAACGGCGAGATAAAATAACATTGCTAGAAATCAAAAGTATGTATGGAAACCAAAATTGAAGACGAACACCACTGCGTGTGACACTGTCAATACTAAACAGGGAAAGAGAATCCCTTGAGACAAAATATCTAAAATTTATTTAACTTCAAAACTATTAATAATGACAATGCTAAATCTAAATCAATAATGAACCGTCGGTCTTTACATATACTAAAGACGTCTTCTTCTGATATTTCTGAATTGTCTAAAGTTAGAAATGATGTATTAAAAAAATGATTATAACATAACATGCATATAACTTGTATACAACCTGTATATATTATAGCTGCCAATCATATGTTTTATGTATTATTATACAAAGTACTTTAACTTTGTATTGATTCTTTACCAATTGTTCGTGCTAATATTTTATGTTGTTTAGGGAGCAACCATCTAACTTCAAAAATAGGGGGGGAGGGGGTTATGGTTTTTAGTCTGAAAGAGAAAATTGTTTACATTTTTTTTAGTTTTTCGACGCTACCAATCAAATTGATTTTTCAAAATATAACACTATAAGGTATGGAGAAAATCTGGATTCAGAATATTTTTTTTTGTCATCTGCTTGACTACAATATTTTGTTTCATCAAATTGGGGATCAGAATATTTTTGTCAGGAAAAAAACATTGATCAGTGTATACCGGGTGCCTTTTAGAGTGTGACATTGCTAGGCATATGGATGCATTGGATTAATGCATTTCCATGTGTAGAAATGCTTTTGGGTGTGGTATTGATCGGTGTTAAGATTCTTTTGGTTGTGGCATTTATTTGTGTATGGATGCTTTTGATGTGTAGTATCGCTCGGTATATGGATGTCTTTGCTCATTCAGAGAAAGGTATATACCTACGCATTACACAAACAATTCTTCCCAATTAAAATTCATATGTCTACACTGTAATGTGCCAGTTCTAACAAAAATGTGCACGTTTTTAAGACATTTAGAAAAAGATATTTTCATAATTTATATCATGTTACAATTTACGTTGCAATTCAAAATATTGCAAAAAATCAACCTAATATGGTATATTTCAATTCTATTGTATGACATCGCTAATTTATTTATTGTGTGTCTTGCTTGCAAATGTATAATTATGTAATTGTTAATGTAAATTGTTATCCTCTTGTAGCACCATACTTGTGCCTAAGTTGTAATAAATTGTCTTGTCTTGTCTTGTCTTGTCTTGTCTCAATGTATGGATATTGTGGGATGTGACATTGCTCGATATATAGCTGTTTTGCTAAAGATTCTAAATTTATGAAAAATGAAATTTTCATTAAATCGAATTCAAAGCCAGGGATCTACTTCATCCCGTTTATTCCGTCAATGACAAACTTCAATGAAAACACTTTATTAAGAAGGGATCTGTTTGAAATCACCAAGAAATCACTTGTTATTTCATAAAGTTCTGACTTGTAAATTTTAATAATGACTTTGTAAATCTGATGAACCAGTGGGAATGTAAAAAAAAACCGTGTCTGACATAACTATTTTTAACTTCGTACATTAAGAAACTAGTAAGTAATTTTTCACGTTGTTTTGTTTTCTTTTGTATGCTACACATTTAGACCTTATAGTGCCTGAAGTATGTCACTATATATAGAAACACATGTAAGGTGAAGTAAAGTGTGTGTTTAATAAGAACCAAGAATTGAAATATTAACACCAACAACAACAAGCATAAACAAAAATACCTTTCGCTGATGAAAGATCGATTTATCTTAAAGGTTCGAATCTAAAACCCTTGAGTAATTAGAAAAATGAAGAGCAGCAATACACGCGGTATTTGAACATTTTACAGTATAGTTTCATATCGGGCGCATTGCATTTGCGCCAATTTAAAAAAAAAAATGCAATTTTTCATTTGCGACACAATATTCTATTTCATTTGCATCAAAAAACAAATACTGCTTTTGCGCTATTTAACATGTAACATATTACAAAAAATATTAAACACATTGTATCCTGAATACGAGGCTCGTATAAGAAATACTCTTGTATTTATATTTATTAGTTACGCCTGTATTTTTGGCGCAAATGATGTTTTGCCCAAAAAGATATTTCATACACCATGTCCACATTTCAAGATTTTTGAAAAAGATAATTAGTACCAAATATCTTTTAGTGAAAGTGTTTGACTCATATCAAATTAGGAATGTCAAGATTATTAAGTGAGGCTATTTTAGCAGTTTCTGTGTGAAAAGCTTTACGTGTATATAGCTTATATGATATAGCTCCATGGAAATATGCAAGACAGAATTTAAAAATAAATATACCGCTATGACTGACTTATGTCATAACATGTGAAGCCGGACGTTATTTGATAAACTCTTATTATTAATATTATTATTTTTAATTAATAAGACCAAAGAAGTGGCCTTACCATGCAAACTCTCATCTTCCCTTAATTCGTTCGCAGAGATTGCTAAAAACGATAAATATATTTATTCGATGGAGTTGAACATCATTTATCACCTGTAATTTATTATTTATTATAGATAAGTCACTCTTTTGTAGGCGTGCCATATGGTAAAAGACCGATATTTGAAATTTGTTAGTTTAACATTTTCGTTCGGAAATCACGTTCATGGTACGTTATGTATCTAATCCCTTTATGTTCGGAATCTGTATTACACAGGAATGAAAAAATATTATTAGTCGCTACGTACTTATTTTGCTCATATATGATATATTTATTCATTGAACATCAGCCGCTATTGGATGGGGACAGCGGGTCGAGGTTTATATAATACTGTGTATTGATACAAGTGTAGACACAGATCAGTGTGATATTATGTTTGAATGTTTGACAGTGTTGTCTGACGAAAAGAGTTCTTTTATGTTTAACTGTGTCGCACAGTACAGCCAACCTGTACCAAACACTCAAAATTAGCTTTGTCGTTTATTCAATATTTAGTTTTAATGTTCAAGAATGTCATGGAGGAGACACTAATTGCATGGATTACCAAATGATTCTGATAAAATATGTTCCACAACTTTGATTTTGGATAGCAGCAAAAACTCAAAATTATGACAATTACACATTAGATGCATTTCTGCCTGATGGGATTTTAATATACGAGAAGGTATCTGAGAACCTGCATGCATGTACTATTTGTATTGTTCTATTTATGTTCCTTTGTGGTGGTCTTCTTTATTTACAAAGTAAATTCTTTTGTTCTAATATACTGCAGTGATGTCTAAATATCTTAATGTGTCAGGGTATAGCACCAACGGCTTCTTGCAGGAGTGGTTTCTTGACTTTTAGAGAGTTACTGTTCCATTTTTACAACAACAAAAAAAAAAAAAAAAAGGTTCCTGTAATGATATCGATTGGGTTTATATTTAAACAATATGTGGTTGATTTACAAATCACTATTTAATAACGTTAGACAAAATTGAGCGTTCATGAAAGGGAGGCGTTTTGGCTTCATTTGGAACGTCTGAGAGATTGGCCAGGTTTGGGCATTCATAAAAAGGACACGTTTTGGTGTCGACGTCTGACATA